TGTGCGTGGTTACCAGGTATTTGGAAGGTCTGCACTTGGCTGTGCTGGGGGAGGTCTTTTGCTCCACCCCATGGCATTATTATAAAAAGCCCTTTAGGAGAGACCAAAGGGGCCAGTAGATATTGACCCAGGCCCTCCCGACGCTGTCCTGTGTTTTTAGCTGTCTCTTTCTCTTCTATATTTCTATCTAAATCTCTTATCTCTCTCTCCTCAAAAGTATCCTGGAGAAAAAGGTGGGGGCAGGCCACCCCACCTGTCTTAGCCTCCCCAGCACAGAGATTATAGACACATGCTATCATGCCTGGCTTTTTGTTTTGTTTTTACATGGGTTCTGGGGAGCTAAAGTCACATTCTCATGTTGGTGTAGAAAGATGACTTTATCCCCTAAGCCATCTCCCTGGCCTCTTAGAAGATTCTCGAAGGGTGAGACTCGTCCTATGAACTATCAATTATTGTTATAAAGCTATGGAAATGAATATGTTGGCAGAGGAATGGATGAACTGATCTCAGTGAGACAGAATAGAGAACTCAGAAACAGACCAGGTATTTATAGACACTTGATAAGGAAGAGATTTGACACGTCCCCAGGACTTGTTCAAGGTCAAGCCAGTGACTTGCTGGTATGGAGATGGCAGGGCTCATAAGCCTCCAGCCCTAGCTGAGGACCTAGTGACAGCTGATGGATGCTGGGGATGCAGTTTGAAGGGTGTGGTCCTGGCATTGACCACACTCCAGTGGATGGTGCCATACCCAGGAGTATATGGACAGCATAAACAGAATGTGGTGAGTTCTTAAAAAACAGAAGAAATGATGTAAGGAGGGGAGTTGGGGGAGTGGATCTGAGTAAGTGGAGAGCCGGTGTGTGTGTGTGTGTGTGTGTGTGTGTGTGTGTGTGTGTGTGAAAATGATTAAAATATACTGCATGCACATAGGAAATTCTCAAAGAATTAATCAAATATCATATTTTAAAAAAGAAAGAAATTTGACATGGCAGATAGCATAAGAAACTGGAACTGAACACATGAACCTCAGAGCTGGGTTACGGCTCATCACCACAATAAAAACAACAACAACAACAACACAAAAACAGAGCAGACACAAAACCGAAAACCAACATTAACATCTGAGATGGTGATTAATAGGAAATGAATGAGTCTTAGAACTCATTACATTGGGGGGGTGGGGTGGGAAACAAGCCACCGAAGACTGAATCCAATACAAGACTATTTTTACAAAGCTCACAGGTAAGTCTGGCAAGATGGCGCCTGATGACCTGGAGGACCCAGACAGCAGAAGGAGAGAACCAAGTCCTGCAAGCTGTCCTCTGACCTCATATTTGAGCTGCTGGACTCATCTCCTACCCCCAGTAAATACATAAATGTAATTGAACCAGTTATTTCTAGAAGATCAAAAGCAGGCAAAAATAGTTAAAAGGATTTTTAAGAATATAAACAAGATGGGAAACTGTTGTTTCTAAAGGGGGGAGGGGCAGGGCTGCAGACTAATGAAGCTCAGGAGGAAGCCCCTTCGGTGGGGGGCAGGCTGGCAGGGGAGGCACACCACCGTGGGACAGCGTTGACTGTGTTGTAGCCCTCGCACGGGGTGTTGGGGTTGTGTGTCACTTTTCTTAAGCTGCCCGGGTGTTCTAGGTGTGATGTCACTGCATACATGTTTTCCATGGGAGCTGTCTTTCTTACAATACAGGATGTTAAGCACCATCCCTGCCCATGCCTTCCACCAGCTACGACAACAAAGATCTCCAGACATTACCAGATGTCCCCTGGGGGTAAAATCGCCCCAATTGAGAATCACTGATCTACCTATATATGTTACATATATATATATATATATATACATATGTATATGTATATATGTATATATATATATAATTGCTTTAAATAGTCTATAATAAAACAAAGTTTAAAATTGACGGGTAGAAGCTCCACTCTGCCTGTAAAACCCGAGCAGGAAGGCATCATGACGAGCAGGGCGTGCCTGAGCCTGCTGAAGGCCTTTGAAGTTGCGCAGTGTAGGCTGACAGACCCAGAGCAGTTGAGGAGCAGGTGACAGATCTCGAAATGGCTCCCAGTCTCAGAGGCCCACAGCTGGTTACACTGGGGGGCGGGGGGGGGGGTGTCTTTATTTTTTAATTCTTCAAGACGTCTAAAAGTTTAGCCCTGCTTAGAAATTACCTGCTTCATTAAAAAAAAAAATCTATTATTGGCATGTGCTTCAGATACAGAACCGAGAGGATCTGAGCTGGATCTGAGCTGAAAGCCTCCTCTCCTGAGGAGTAGCTTTCCTAGTTCCAGAAGGTGCTGTATGAGCTTCCAAGGGAAGGAAGCAGTCAGTCGTCCTTCCCAGCTGTGATGCCTGTGAGCCAGAACAATGACCAGCAAGACAAGCTATCCCTAAGGGTGCAATAGGCGCGCATTTCTTGGCAGTAACCAACAGCTTTCTAATTGGACTCCAGGCCGGCTTAACTGAGGGAAATCATGCCTGGCACTGGAAACCTAGGCAACTACCAAGGCTGGTGAGGCCACGGGTCTTAGAGGAGAGCCCACTCTGCTTATTTTATTAAGGCAGCATAATTCTTAACTGCATTCTAAATACTTATCCTTATGTTCACAAATAACCGCATCTCTCACTCCTCATCAAAGAAGCTTCTCCTTCTCAAAAGACAGACCATTACAGAAAACCACAACTGTAGACATGCAGAGAACAGCTGGTCAGGGGCCCTTTCCCCAGTGGATACACTATACCTAAAGCTCAGGATGCACAGAGAAGAGGGAGCAGAAAGACTCTAAGAGCCAGAGGACCAGGAATTCTGCTGTGAGACTGTCTCCTAGAAGTGACCGGGAAGCTATACCCCATAACGTTTCAGTAATATGGCTGCCAGACAAGACCTGACCAAGGCTAACGGCAACAGAACGCTAACATGGAAGGGTCAAATCTCACAGGGCCCTGCCCCTAGACCAGGAACTACAGGCAGCTAAGGTATTCTGAGAGCTGGGAAATTAGCCTTCTCTGGGATGAGCTCCCTGATTGGTTATCCAATACCAGGTGGTCAGCCCTGAAATCATATACATACAAGCAACACTAAATGGACTCAGCAGGTAGTATTTATATATTTAGAATCTATCTATCTATCTATCTATCTATCTATCTATCTATCTATCTGTCTGTCTGTCTGTCTGTCTGTCTGTCTGTCTATCTATCTATCATCTATCTATCTATCTATCTATCTATCTATCTATCTATCTATCTATCTATTTATCATCTATCTATATCTATCTATTCATCTATCTATTCTATCTATCTACTATCTATCTGTCTCTGTCTGTCTGTCTATATCTATCTATTTATCTGTCTATCATCTATCTATCTATCTGCATGTTCTTAAATATATTAAGGAAAGAGAGACCATGAATTTGTGAGGAAGTGAGGAGAGAGGAAAGAGACATGAAAGAGGTTGGAATGAGAAAAGGGAAGGAGAAATGAAGTAACCATACTTAATTAATTTTAAAAAACCTTCTGTTAGCAAATAAAAAGAAAAATGCTATCTCATCATGGTCAAATCAAATAACAGCTGGACTTTAAAAATAACATTTTGAAGAAAAAACACTGTGGTGATATTGTGTTCCCCAAAATATTGTGCATCTTAATAAATTTATCTGGGGTCAGAGAACAGAACAACCACTAGATAGATATACAGGCCAGAAAATGGTGGCACACACGCCTTTAATCCTATTACTTGGGAGGCAGAGATCCATCTGGATCTCTGTGAGTTCAAGGCCACACTGGAAACAGCCAGGCATGGTGACACATGCCTTTAATCCCAGGAAGTGATGGCAGGAAGCAGTAAGGTATATAAGGCATGAGGACCAGAAACTAGAAGCTTTTGGCATGGTTAAGCTTTTAGGCTTTTGAGTTCAGCTGAGAGGCATCCAGTCTGAGGAAACAGGATCAGCTGAGGAATTGGCAAGATGACGTGGCTGTGGCTTGTTCTGCTTCTCTGATCTTCCAGCATTCCCCCCAACACCTGGCTTTGAGGTTTTTTTTATTAATAAGACCCTGTAATATTCGTGCTACAAAACACTATTATTGATTTTAAAAAAATGGAGTCCATGTTTATATAAAGCCTATTTTGTAAGACCCTAGAAAAGGTCCATATATTATATATTCTATTACCTTTGAGAAGTTGACTGGACCTGTGAAGTCACTATACACCTTACTGTGATCCCCACACGACTGGGTTATCTCTGGAAGGAAGAGCGAACGGTGGGGGATGGGGGTGGGCACAGATGGCTGGATGGGTCAAGGAGCCTGTTGCTAAGCCTGGCTTTTGAGTTTGATTCCCCAGAACCCACATAGTGAAAGCAGAGAGCTGACAGCGTTGCCCTCTGACCTCTATTACACCAACCCCCAATACATAGTAAGTGAAATGTAAGACCCCCATAGTGTGGTGTTCCTGCTCTAGGATAAAAAGTGTCTAGGAGTTCCCACTCACTACTGTACCTAGTGATCCTCAAGCCTCCAGCTCTCAGGCTCAGAACACGGTCCCCTTCAGCCTGTGATGGGGAGAGCGTATCATCCTTATTTTAATATTAATTTTATTATGTGTGTGTGTGTCGGTCTGTCTGTCTATCTGCTTGCTTGCCTGCCTGCCTACCTGTCTGCCTGTCTCTAGTTTGAGGGTGTATGTTTGTCTGTGGTGACACGTGATCAAGGAGGGGAAAGGCAAAGGACTCCAGGAGAAAGCTGGGAGGAGGGTCTGATGCCAAGAGCGCTGGGCACAGAAGATGCCTTGGGCAAGCTTCTTGGGACCATCATTTCTTTAACCATAAAAATCCGTAGAATGCAAAAATCAAGTGAGGAATGTATTACAGAGCACCTCATGCTTCAACGCACACATAATGGTTATCCTGTTAAAACGGAACACAGATGGCAAGGCAGCCATCGTGGGTATCTTTTTTTTTTTTTTTGGCACTAGCTCTTACCATATGTCTAGCTCAGAGGAGTACTCAGTGGCTCCCAGCAAAGCGTCAGGTGGCCGGTACCAGAGTGTCACCACTTCGGAAGAGTAGGTCTGGCTGGGAATGGACTTGGCTCGAGCAAGACCTGTCCAAAGAGGACAGAGACAGCACTCATTATCCTGGGTCTTTTGGGGAGGCATGGTGACACACTGTATGGGGGAGAGCAAACGGCAGAGCAGACAACATGAAGGACAACATGCCCCTGGGGGTGTGCCACCAGAAGCACCCGGCTCTCCTGGGGTGTGTGTATATTGCATCAAGAAGAGTTCTTAATTTTGACCTGCACTGTAACTAGATGAGGCAGCCAAGTGTGGTCAGGAGACTCAACTCTTGCTTACTTGGTATGAACAGAGGGGATGTGGAACTTCCAGGTCATGCCCTTAGTGGGTGGGTCCTGCTTCTGCTTCCCCCTTCTCTTCCCTCTGAGCCATGATGAGCTGGGGCCAAGAACTACACAGGAGTATGCCATTGGGCAATGTCTAAAGGATGGTGGAGCCACGTGACGGGTGAAGACCGGATGAAGACAACTCCAACCGCCCTGAGTGGAGCTTGTTTCTAGAACATTACTCCACTGTACTGTGGGTCTCTACTGTGGAGAGTTGGTGAATGGCTATCTGCTAAATGCACAGATATTGGGATGAGAGCCATTGCTACAAAGCGAAGTCCTCCAGATACCATGTGACATGCGAAGTCCTCCGGATGCCGTGTGACATCCTCCAACAAAGATCGGTTTCTTGTCTCACAAGAACCAGAGTGTCAGAGCTGGGGAGGAAGCCTAGTGGTAGAGCAATTTCCCAGCATGCCTAAGGCCCTAGGTTCAATCCCCACTATCCAAAACAAACAAACAAGGAATAAAAAGACCAAACCAAACAACAATAAAATACTAGAACCAATGTGTCAGCCCCGTGTGGTGATGCATACCTTTAGTTTCTGCACTTGGGAGACAGAGCCAGGAGGATTGCTGCCAGTTCAAAGCCAGCCTGGTCTACAAATTAGGTTCTAGGTCAACCAGGGCTACATGGGGAGACCCTGAATCAATTTGCTGAGCATTTAGTACCATACTAGGAATATAATGATAAGCAAAAACAGACTCTCAACTACTCTCTAGTAAAGGAGAATAAAATCTAAAACCACATATAAGTATATGTATGTATATGCTTGTGCATTTCTGTATTACATATCTGTGAATAGAAATATAAACTATGATACATGCTAAAATGGAAAGACACTGTTGTAGGGGAAGTCTGCATCCTTTGCTAGGAATATAGTCAAGGTGATGTTGACATTTAAGGGTGCAGAACCAAGTATCATTTCCACTTATGCAGGAGTCCACACTACATTCTAGGGTCAGCTTCTCTGTTCCGCTGTCCTGGGATAGCCTTGATCTATTCTGACACAGCTGTCATTATCCACTTAGATATAGGGACAGCACCTAAGTACAGTCTACTCCACAGACGTCACTATCTCAAAGGTGGCAGCGGGATCATCTGAGGACCTATTCTAGGCTTCTGGCTAGACGTTTGGATGGAATTCTAAGAAACTTCCACGCTCTCCCTCTCTCCTGCCTCACATTTCCTGTATGTCAGTTTAACATCCACACACAGCATCATGTTCTTGGGCTCTAGTTTTCAAAGGCCAACCCTAGTCAATGCTTCAAACAAATTCATACAAAAGACTCATTGTTCCTAGGCCAGAAGGAGACCTGAGGGGCGACTCACCAAAATCAGCCAATTTGAGCTCTCCCAGGTGACTGATGAGCAAGTTCTGAGGTTTCAGGTCCCTGTGAAGAACATGCTGGTGGTGGATGTACGCCAGGCCCCGCAGAAGTTGAAACATGAAAAGCTGGAAGAAATGAACACCATACCTAAGGACACTTGAACCACTGTGTGTTGATTTCGTCTCCAAATCAAAACCATTCCTCTAAAAGAATATAGTGAAAGTGTCTCTTGAGAGATGAAAGAGAGAGAGAGAGAGATTTTTAGACTCGTTCAGAAAGAGGGGAAAAGGTCAAGGGAATCAAGTTAACTACATCCCAAACAAAGGGATTCTGGCCAGGCCTGGCATCTTGTTCCTTTCACACTGAAGGAATTGCCCTTCCTTAAAAATCTCAAGTGAAATCTTGAGGTCTCTGTAGGAGCATTTGGTTTAGATGTGAAAGATATGATTTTTTCCCACAGATAACCTTGGCTGGCATGTCAGGTCAAAGTTGACCTGGAAGTGATAGTTTAGTGTTTACAATCGCTGTCTTTTTCCAGGCTCCAATACCAGGAGACCTAACTGGGAAATATATTTTAGATGGTATTAAGAAATAAAGGGGGGGGGGGGGTAGGATGGCCCAGTGGGTAGAGGTACTCTCTGTGTAAGCCTAGAATCCTATGTTCAATACCCAGAACCCACATAAAGGTGGGAGGAGAGAATTGACTCCACAAAGTTGCCCTGTCTGTGTACACACACACACACACACACACACACAAATGATGTTTACTTTTTAAAGTTGGAGAAAAATAAAGGCATCATTGTCTTCATAGTTTATTTTTATTTTATTTTTTATTTTTTTGGTTTTTCGAGACAGGGTTTCTCTGTGTAGCTTTGCGCCTTTCCTGGAACTCAGTTGGTAGCCCAGGCTGGCCTTGAACTCACAGAGATCCGCCTGGCTCTGCCTCCCGAGTGCTGGGATTAAAGGCGTGCTCTCTCTCAGCATTCCTATCGCTACTCTCCCTTGGCCACTTCTCATTTAATATGGCCTCAGTCAGCTACTGTGTTCAGATTGTTTCAAAATCCTTACCTCCTTGGGTTGGGGAGTTAGCTCAGTGGTAGAGCGCTTGCCTAGCAAGCGCAAGGCCCTGGGTTCGGTCCTCAGCTCCAGAAACCCCCCCCCAAAAAAAAAAAAACCCACAAAATCCTTACCTCCAAATCAAATTTCTCTCTTTACAAATGTCAGTGTGTGTGTGTGTGTGTGTGTGTAATGCATGTGTGTATTTGCGTGTGCTCACCTGTGTGTGAATGTGCACACGGAGGCCCGAGGTTGATATTGA